AGCAAACATGTTCTGAAGTCCAGACACAAAGGCCCCACCTCACCCCCAGGTCCACCCAGCCTCTGCCTGATGCCCACCTGCTGGGAACCCAGGCTTCTTTAGGTAAGCTGAGGCTGCACTTGCCATGCCCTGTCTTTGGCTTGGGTCTCTTGTCAGGTGAGGGGCCACCTGGACATTTCCCAAGTGCAGTTAAAGGCAACACAGGCTTTGGGGCCTGCAAGCCAGGGTGGGTTTACATGAGCTTCACCTAAAGTGACTGATGATCCTGACAGGGATGGTTTTAAGTCTTGTCTTTAAACCAGGCACAACAGCAGTCACCTCCACCACTATTGTATTATAATGGGAAGATACACAACCGGCCCACGGCTGCCTCAGGAATGACTGCTGTTACTGCTCAACGTTTCATGTTCCAGTTTTAATTTAAAACAACATTTTCCCCAAACACAGCAGACTTGGAAACTGCAGTAGGCCTGCCCAGTGCTTCACTGCTGCCCCTGCAGAGACGGGCAGTGCTCCTTTTGTCCCAGCAATGAGAACCCTAGAAAGCTTAGGACATTCAACACTAAGGGAGAGACTGTCACCAGGCTCCAAACTTCCTTCCCATAGGTTTCAAATACACCTCCTTCTTACCTTAAGATCTCAGATGTATATGGAGGGTTGAGTTTTGTTTTCATCTTTAATGAAGCACATTGGGGTGGGTGGAATTTCTTACAGTCTTAGTAATGTAAGGTTAAAATCCAAAAAGGTTTGGGGAGAACAAAAGGTTCAAACTAGCTTTCCTATTCGCACTGCTGGTCCCCACCTGTTCCTGCTCCTGTTTTTCTCCTCCTTCTGGATTTCTTTTATGATGGGTTTGGGGAGATACTCTTGACCTGGCTGTTTCTGCCCATTCTCTTCTTGCCCAGTTTAGATCTGAGGTGACCTCTGGAGGTGATCTCCTTCCTGCCCGTTACCTGCCTCCTCCTTGCTCCTATCCTATGGGAACACTGGCCTCTGGAATGGGACCCACAGCACCTAGTCCTGCCTTGCTGATGACCTGGCTCCCACCCTCAGCGAGCAGGCATCTTCTGCATTTCTCATGGACATTTCTTCCCCAGCTGGTCTCCCTCTGTGTTTCAGCCAGGAGCTAAAGACAAGGGACAGAAGAGGCTGCAATCCCCTGCACCCTTGGTGTCCATGTGGAGGGCACAACCCACCAGGTCTGCCACTTGCTGCTCGGCTATGAAGACCATGGGCTTATCAGTTGCACACGAGGGGCAGAGGCCTCAGAGGCAGCACAGCAGCCCAACTGGGCAGGTCCGGTATCACTGTCCAGCAGCGCACAGGGCACAGCTTTACCATGCTGCATCCCACTCCACGTCTGGGCTGTCACAGCGGGAGATGCGCCTGGTGCCGTTTCCCTCCTCACTGACTGCAAGAAGAACACTGAACAGGACATCTGCGCTCTTGGCCAAGGTCTGGTATGCAACACGGTGCAAGTTTTAATTTCAAAGGACTTGAGATGGTAACGCTTACATTTTAGTGAAATCTAATAATTCTTAAGAATATTCTGAATTTCTCAGCATTAAAATTTTCCATAAATACTAGCTTCCGGTGTTCAGATGCTCTAGTGATTGGCAGCAATTAAATGGAAAATTCCAGTCTGAGCTGGCTCCAAATACACCACAGATGCAGGCTCTGACATCATGACTGGTGTTCAGCCCTGGGCACAGGGCAAGGGAGCAGTGGAGAACTCACTGTGAACCAAGGGGGGCAACAGGGCATGTGCTGCGCTCACACCCTCCTTGGGTGTGGGAAATATTTAACCTTGTTTAGATGTATAAAAACAGCTACCTAACCACTTTGCTGAGGTCAGGCTCACTCAGATGGTGACAGGTGACAGCATGGCTTGCCCTTGTGATGTCCCACTCCATACTCCTTCCCAGGCTAAGGGGAAAATGGAGCTTTATGTTTCCTTCCTGGAGTTAGAAACTGAGGTCACCAGTGGTGACACTCTTCCTGTGGCCTTGAAGACAGAGAAGAGATTGAAAAGAACCTAAAGTAATGAAGTGAAAGCCAGAAGAAAGGTACCAGAAGAGAGAAGATATGGAATATTAACGAATCGGCCCAAGTTCTATTTCCTAAAGCACCCACAAGTCCCAGAGAGTGGCCTAGCTTTCCTGCATGCCAGGCAACGAGGTGACTGTCAAACTGGAATTAGAGTGGTGGCACATGGCTGTAATCCCAGCAGCTCGGGAGGCTGAGGCAGAAGGATTGTGGGTTCAAAGCCAGCCTCAGCAATGGCAAGGCACCAAGCAACTCAGTGAGACCCTGTCTCTAAAGAAAATACAAAATAGGGTTAGATGTGGCTCAGGGGCCGAGTGCACCTGAGTTCGATCTCCAGGATCCCCAAAGAGAAAACAAAACAAAACTGGAAGTAAATATTTGCACTTCAGATCTGGCTCTCTGTGCCTCTTTTTCCTACTAAAAGTAGGGTCCTCAATGCCCAATTCCAGTCCTCTAGACCTGTGGTTTGAATAGTGATTGAGAAACAAAACTATTAACATAAAATTAAAGGTGCATTAGGTTTCACAGACATACTTGTTTAAGAACATTTTCAACTTTTGGTGGGGGGACAGAGACATGTCTCTTATTTCTGGACCAAAAAGAGCGAGGAAAGCAAATTATGTGCCACCATATCCTGCCTCTGCTTTAATAGAGGGGTAAAAAGTGCATGTTGATGGAGCACCAGAGCAACAAAGCTCTGTCACCCCATCCCACGCCATAGCAGAGGACTCTCAGTGACAGATTATCACACCCATTGCCTGAGAGAATCAGAGTAGCCATTGTTCTTATAGAAGTAAAGCAAGTCATATATTAAAGTGTCCAAAGAAAATATTGATTTAAATTCAACACAATTCAAATTAGTAAAAATACGCTTCCCTCATAGAATCTCAAATCTAGTACTCAGAAGTGTAAACAAGGTAAAAGCTGAAATACGTGTGTACACAGAAAATGCTGCATTTCCTTTGTAAAAAAGAAAAAGCAAAAAAGAATCTGAGGTTGGTTTTAAGGAGTTACAGATCAATTGGTATAAGGGAAGATACAGAATTGTCATTATTTCATGTGCCATGCTTTATGAAATTGTCAAAAATGGAGTAAAAGGTTAGCTTTCACTATTGTATTTGATTAAAAAGTGAAGGAAAAGTTCATAAAGTAACAAGGGTGAAGCCGAGTTCTTGCTCTAGGAGCTGAGTGACAGCACCAGTCACTGGCAGAGGAGTGTCCCTGCGTTCCTCAGGAATGGGATGAGTCCACAGAAGCACTGGGGCCCTGAGGCTACCCTGCCACTGCCACTTGCACATACACCTGCACCAGGCCTGAGAGGCACCTACCACACGCACCTGTTTTCCAAAGATAATTTTCTAGCATTGAAGTTGGTTAAGGTTCAGAACAGAAGATGTGAATGAAGGGAGAGCAAGGAGCAACAGGAAGGCGGCCTCAGTAATGGACATTTCCTGATGTTACACTTTCAAAGGTTGGTTTTGCTCTTATCCTTGAATAAAACTAAGTCTCTCACCTAATGTATTGTTAATTTTAATTATTTAGTTATTATTAATTTGTTAAGCAAACCCTTTCTGTCCATTTTACATAAGCTACCTCCCAGTGAGTGTGGACTGGCACATCAGGCGCAGGCTGCTCGGCCTCTCTCGGCTCAAGCAGCCATAGGTGAATGAATCCAAAGCATAAGGCCCACTGCAAATGAAAGAGGCTCATTATACACAATGCACGGTATATTTTACACATTAGATAATTTAACTTGGCACATTACTATGATCTGCTGGCAAGTGGAGACCTCTCTCTGTTTCCCTCTGCCACACTTTTCCACCATGATGTTCTGCCTCATGGAGCCCTGAGGTACTAAGCCAACTATCAACAAATACTGCCAACTCAATATACTAAAGGGCCCCTCTCTCTAAGCTCTCTGTAGCCTTAAGGAGAAATTAAGAATATGCTGGCAACAACATTTTTATCACTCCATCATGATGCTAAATAATGACCACAGAACTTCCCAAATCTTCAGAGGTTTTTTTTTTTTTTTTAACCACACACCTTCAAAGCATGCCTAAGCAGTATCTGATTTTCTGCATCTCGATAAACACAATTATGAAACTGGACAGCTGACAAAACTCAGATAGACTTAATAAAAGATACCTACTCAGGAAAAGCAAATTTTAGTCTCAAAATCATCAATAACGTCTAATAAACCCAACTTATCCTTATAATTAATATCCCCTGTAAATTGTGAAAGGTAAAAGGAAACTATCTTAGGAAAAAGAATTCCATGTAACACCAATTTTAACCCAGTGAAACTGTAAGATTCACTCAAGTGGATAAAAAGAAACAAGAAATTTGTTACTATCTTAGCGTTTCATATCCCAGTTGTTTTCCAGACATGCTCACATGTGTAACCATATTTAAATCTGACACTGTGCCATCAACATGAGGCAGCCCACTGCACCCCGCACCAGCAAAGCAGAGGCACCACTGTGCATGCGCCACTCCCCAACCCAAGAAGATTCTAACCACACAGCACAGTCCCGGAGGGACTTCCTACAGAGCAATCTGAGGTGTCAAATGCAACATTTTTGCCCTTTGAACTCTTTCTTTCTTTTTTTTTTTTTTTTTAATGTTTTTCTTTAGTTGAAGATGGATACAATGACTTTATTTATTTATTTTTATGTAGTGCTTATGATTGAACCCAGTGCCTCACACATGCTAGGCCACTGAGCTATAGTCCCAGCCTTGAACTATTTTCTAAACTTTACATTTGATAGGAAAATCCTGCCAAACAGTAGAGATTGTGCAGGATAGCCACGAGGCAATCTCTGACGTTCTCTTGCAGCGGCCTCTGAAAGGGCCATTTCCTCCTCTGCAACTGAAGTAGAAGTTGTTAGTATAAAAGAAAACACACACATACCCAAGTACACCCCCAATCATAGTTTCTGACAACCACTAGATTTCATTCTAAGCAAAGAGTTTAATGATAGTGATAGATTTGCTATAAAACAATCAAGTAGAACACTAAAGCAAGGGTATTTTCCTTCAATGTGAGAGAAAGCAGCAGCCACAACTGTAAGATTCACTCCATATGAAATCAACACCAGCTCTGAGACTGGATACTGGGAGGTCGCACTACCTTTCTGGGAGGAGGCCCCTCTGGCCCAGGGGCAGTGCTGTCCCCACAGTATCCTGGTCTCACCTGTGGTCTCACAAATCTCTCCCTGCTGGGAATCATGAGCCTGAGATGCTATTGAAGAAGATCTGATTTCAACCATAAACTTAATAAAACCTTCAATTCTCCTTGAAAGATTAGGTAAAGACGACAGGAAGTGATTCACTGGAAAGTGATATTCTAAGTGACCACAACCAATACCCAATTTTGAAAAAGCATTTTGGCTGTATAATTGCTTTAAAAAAGTGATTTTGACAAGCTTCAGGTAAAAATCATCTCGAAAGGGTCCATTTTTCACTTATATGTAACCAATTCATCTTATTTACATATAGGACTCAATTTTTATTCCACTTTCTTCATATAAGATTATATTTTTAACTAGTAAGTAAACTTTAGATCTTTTTCATAGAAAGTCTAATACCCTCCTATTCACAGGTGCAAGTCTGTCTCCACAGAGAACTGAATATAGTTAAAACCTTAATGAATAACACAAAGACTAAGCCCCAGTATCAGCACTCTGCCTACGGGCCACGGTTATTCAAGAAGGCAACGGTCTGGTCTGCACACACTGGAGAACATGAAGCAGAGAGATCCTGAAGACCCAGGAAGAGAACCCTGGATTCTAAAACAGTAGCCACTGCTTCCTTCTGCCACTGATATACAATCCTATACTAGGCTCATTTCTTCCTCTTAAACACTGATTTTTGTAGGATATTTAACTTTAAAAACTTTAAAAAGGTATCTTAATTCTTTAACCCTCAGAGAACTGGTCTACTTAGGCAACTAATCAAAAAATAATCAGAAGCTTGTTATCTTTGCCCAAAGTCTTCAGAGGGTTAAAGTGCAGGAACTTTCTATAATTTGTTATACAAGGCACCCTATTCCACTTTTTTCTTAAAAGAAACTTTTTCTTTGGTTTCATGTAGTTTTTCAGTGAGTCTATCCTTGGTCTCTTCCATTTTCTCTGTGATGAGCTCCTTGGTCTCTTCCATCCTGTCTTGTAGATACTCCTTGACAGGGGGTGGTGTGGACATGTATCCATGACTGCGCAAATACTTCACGGTAAAGGAGGTTCCTCCCAAGGTCACGGTGTAGCGCGCGGGTGTTGCAATCTTAAGAAAAAAGCCAACAGGCAGATCAGCACATGATTATGACTATGAATAAAATTAAGTTGAAATTTACATTCCTGGTAATAACCAATGTACAAATAATTCATTGCTTCACAAGAGTAATGTAGCAACATTCTATAATCTTTTCTATCCTAACAAGGGATGCTTCTTCTGTGAACTCACTTTACCAATGTTTGTCCCTATACTAACCCATGACTTAAAGAATTACTGCAGTCCACAACACTGATGCCCTTACCCTCACACTAGTAGGCCTGGGGGGCATGTTCACCTGGAAATCAGAAAAAGGGCTTGGTGCCCCAAACAATAACAAAGGCACACCTGCGTCTATGCTCCCAACTGGGCCAACTTCTTCAGTGATGGATTGGAATGAGGGCCAAAGTTTCTCTGCTGAATTGAGTCTCACTCCACATCCTGCTCCTTGCTCCTTTGACTCTTCCAGGCTGAATGCTACTTTCTCCTCACAATTCACCTAAGGCTTAGAAGTCTAGCCAGGAGATTCCGTGAAGTCACAGAGATTTAAGGACTGTAACCAAACAGGAGAGGAATTGGCTGAAGGGACTCACCCAGGCAAAGGGGCTGCCATTACATGTGGATCCAGCTGCAGGAGAGCTGCACGAACTCTCTCTGCCCCTGCCCTGGCTCTGGCAGGCTCCCATATGGCCTCCCCACCACCCACTTGCATCAGCTCCCAAACTTCTAGGAAACCAAACCCACTGTCAAGTATAACCAGCCCCAGCTCAGCCTGACCCCCCCACGGCAGCTCCTCTGTGCATCTTGCACAGAGTGCCAGAACCACCCCACCTGGCTTCCTGTCAGCTTGTGGATGCCTGTTGTACACTTGTGTTTGAGCACAGCATGACAATACGCGGTCCCCATACCTTCCCTTTCTCATCCCTATGCTGACTTGTCCACTTTCATATCTTTAGTGCCATCTGTACAATGAGAATTCCTAAATTTTCATTCCCAGACTGAACCCCTTCCATGAATTCTAGTATATTCTACTCATTTCCACTTGCATGTCGACTTGATCCCAAAACTTAATACTCAAAACTCACCTGTGGACCTCAACTGTCCACCCAGACCTGATCCTCTCAGTCTTTTCCATCACAGTTGCTGAGGCCAAAAACCAAGGAGATAGCTTAGACCACACCCCCCCCCCCCCCCCCGCCTTTCTCTTATGTAAGTTGCATCCAAACAATCCGAAAAACCAATTAGCTCCTTCAAAATACATCCAGAATCCATCTATTTCTGACAGCCTCTCCTTCCACCACAGGTACCTGGCCACCAGAACTCCAGCCTAGCCACTGCACCAGCTTCACGCCAGCTCCCTCTGCCTCCACCCTGCTCTTGCCTATTGGCATGGCAGTCCAAGTGATTTTGCTGAAACAGAGATCAAGTGCTTAAACTTACCCAATAACTTTCCATGCCCTTAGAGGCAAAGCTGAAGTCCTCACAATAGTGCCTAAGTGCCTACAGTGAGTGACTGATCTGGCTCTCTCATCTCTCTCACACTCACTCATTCCAGGCACAATGGCTTCCCACTAGCCTCCAAACACCCCCAGTCTCTACAGTCTCAGGACTTGGTCCTTGTGGTTTCCTCTGCTTGGAACACTTCTCCCTTGGAGCTGCCTGACCACGCTCTGAACTTCTCAATTGCACCTTCCCTCTACAATTGCACCCCTGCCTCCGAAAACACACACATACATACATCACATACTCCGTTCATGGTTAATTCTTTCTTCTTAGCACTTACCACCATCTAAATGCTGCACACACTGTTTGTCTACATTTTTAACTTAATCTTTTTCGTCTCTCCAAATGCTTCCCCAGTCTGTCCCCACACAACTGAAGTCTATGCTCTGCACAGACAGGTATTTTGTGCTGTTCTAACTGGTGTTTGCCCAATACCTAAGATGGCACTTGGTTCAGAGCAGGGGCTGGTGAGTCTGACCCATGAAACTATAGGTGCATTTAATGAGCAAGAGGGAGCTCAGGTGTGCACCCAGCCACCTTCCTCGCCTTGGCCACACACCATTTTGGGGCTTTGACTGGAGGAAGCAAGACATCTCTGCCTGTTGTCCTTTTTGGGAAACTGTGCATTACAGAAAACACTCAGGAAAGTCCCCTCATTTCCCAGCCCACACCACTGCACCAGTCAGTCTCTGCTTCCTAAACCCAGGCCGAGCACGGTTCTGCCTACAAAATGTAGTCTCAGGAATAGTAAAAACAAAGAGAATGAAGATATGATCCTGAATTCCTTGAAGCTCATAATCAAATAAAGAAAACAAGCACTTAAAAAGAAAACCTCACAGAGACTGACATGAACTTAAAGAGAGGATACAGGTGCCTGGGACAAGGAACAAAGAGGATCAGGGAAATAGCTTAAACTGTCATCATGCTAGTTTGGTATATTAAGGCTAAATTATACCCATGTAATTAGAAACTTGATAATTTATGAATTTAATACATTTTAATGTAGAAAAACGCTAGCAATTAAGCTTTGGCCCTCAAGTCATTATTATAAAAGGAAATCTAAAATTTCAAGAGGACTCTAATAAGGATGACAGAATGAAACAATGCTATTTTTGAATAATACTATAAATTCTAATTCTAGGCATTTTTATACAATAGAAGTAAAATAACATCTAATTTCCAAACATTTTTTACCTGTTTTCTTCCCTTAGGTAGAAGCATCATAGAACCTCATAAGATTTTGTGAACTAAACAAAATGAGATTAATTTGGCTAAATGTCACAATTTACAAGGAGCCTTTCCTTCCAAAGACCTGTGTAAGTAGAAACTAGAGTCATGATGTTGTCTGAATCCAGAGCAGTTATAGATCATTCATGTGTAAAAGGACATCTGACAAATCTAAGAAAAGTTCATCACATAAAACAATTTCAATTAAACTTCACTATTTCATTTACTAAGAAAAGGTGAGCTACATTACAAAAGGTGAGTTACTGTAAACAGGAGGCTACATGCTGACTCCTGCTAACACGTCAGGTGGCCTGTGGAGCTCTGATGAAGGAAAGACAAAGTGTCAACAGGGGAACTATCCAGAAAGCCCTGAAAACACACAGCCGCCCAGTGGCCTACCACGGCAGGTCACGGTCCAGCTTTTCTTAAGGCACTTCTCCTAGAGCCATCATTTTATTTGTACTTGGAAACTGTATGACTTGAGTTATTCATCAGACACGTAAAGGATGAAATGCAACTTAAGTCACTAGAACTATGAAGATCTGACAGGCAGTCTCGCAGGGAGGGATGCTGTCCGCCGTGGCACCCACCTTGAACATGGCATATGCCGTCAGGGCATTTCCACTCTGGGAGTTTTTCAGGATGTTCACGACGCTGTCAGGCAGCCCGAGGAACTCCAGAAAAGGAATGACATTCACTCCTCTATGAGAGAAGCACAAGGAAGTTATACATAAAAAGCCTTCAGAGATTATCTGAAAACACACAACCACAAATTTACCATAATTTGTTTATAAATTTTGTTTAAAAGCTAATTCTGCATTATTAAGCACTTCTAAGACAACATCTTATTCAAAACACAATATACAGTAGCCACACAAGCCTCTGAGTAGTGCCATGTCTCACCATCTAAACACAGATGTCCTAATTAGCATATTTAGCAAGTAGAAGCATTTATTAGAGCAAAATCAATAGCTTTAAGTAAATTAAGAGGAGGCTCAGAGTCGTTTACCTGATCTTTGTTTCCTCACCCAAATATTACTTCTTTACAATGACCCAACTCACATTTCAAGACATAAGATTTTTACCGTTAACAATTCATGTCAAGTCTATACCATTATCATAAGAGCAAAGAATATTTTAATATCACTTATTGTGCTATTACACAGAGAATAAATGATTCTGTGGGTTTGCGGAAACTCAATTATTCTAAAAGGATGATTCTATTCTAAGACCTGAAAGGCAGGTAAAGAACAATTACTACACACTGCAATGAATTCTTGGAGGGGAGGGGGAGACGGGCCTCCATGCTGAGCTGGCGAGCCCCAGCATGGGCATTTTCAGTTTCCTGACTACACTTGCCCTTGTCCTCCCACTCTCTCAGTGCACAGGTTTTGAAGACACTACAAACCTCCACCCCAAATCAGAACAAGGACATTTACCTGTGTAAACTTCACGTAATCATCACCTTTAGGAAATTTAGCACACACAATAGTATGTGGTAAGTGAATACAAAATCTACATTAAAATCCCCTAAATTGTCCCAGTCGTCCTATTTTCCCTTGTTCTAGTCTCCTTCCTCCCGGACATGTTTCCAGGGTTTCTTTGTTGGCACTGGTAACTTGAAGCAGGCAGCTGGCTGCGGGTATGGCACTGCTCAGTTTGGGTTTCTGTGATTGTTTTCTCATAACTGGCCTCAGGTTGACATCTCCCCCAGGACATTGATAGGTGGAGCTGTGTCCAGCTGGAGCATCACTGCAAGGGGAACATAACGTCCCTCTATCCCACTCTTGGTGTTTCTGAGCTTTCCTCTTGGTTAAGGAGGGTCCCAGATGGCTACTCTATGACTGTGTCTTACCCTCTTTCATCAAAAAAGGGAATTGCCTGACCCTTATCATGGTCATTATAAATTTCTTTTTTTAATATTAAAGAATAATTTGATGAACTAGAGAAAAGGTGTAGCTCTTTTGTGATTTCACCAATGATACTAAGTGACCAGGGAATATTTTCAGTAGACATTGCTGATGGACATCAATGAAGGACCATTAAAATTACCTATTATAAAAAATAAAAGGAAATCTGAACAGTGGAAGGAACATTTGGAGATAAATTTTAAAATCAACTCTTTAAGTTCAATCTGATTTTGTCTATCTGCACCTTTAATTCTTTTCCAAATCTCTTTCTAGATAATAATAATACCCTGTTATGGTTTGGATGTAAAATGTTCCCCAAAGACGCAGGTGCTGGATCTTAAAGGCTGGGTCTCCAGGGCAGCAGTGTTCAGAGGTGGGTGGGGATTTAAGAAAGTGATTACATCGTGAGGACTCTGACCTCATCAGTGGATCAATCCATTGACCAATTAATAACGTGATTACATTAGTGGGAGGTGAAACCTAGCTGGAGTAGGGCCTTACGAACGTGCCCCTGGGGACTACGATTGTCCCTCCTTGCTCTCTACTTTGTGGCTGCCATGAGCTGAACAACCCTCTTTTGTCACTCCGTCCCACCATGCTTCCACCTTGGAGCCAGGCCACTGACTGAAACCTCTGAAGCCATGAGCCAAAATAAACCTTCCCTGCTCTACGCAGATCTGCTTAGTATGTGCCATAGCTGTGAAAAAGCTACCACACATCCCACTAAGGTAAGGTCTGCCACTAGAGCTGGCTTTTGTATATGGATCTAACCAAGTCACTAGAGTAGTTATGTGGTAACATCCTGCCATAACATGCTACTTTTATTCTTCTATCACCCACCAATACCATTATGAAATTATTTAATTATTTCCTAGTTTCCAATTAAACCTATTGTATAAAATTTATACATTTAACATCATAAAATGAAGGAAAAAAGATACAATTGGCAAAAAAAAAAAAAAAAAAAAAACCCAAGTGATTAAAAAAACTCCTTTATCATAAAAATGAGATAACAAACTCACACACCTTGCACAAGGTATAACATTGCAAGCTACTGATAAGGAAATAAGCACATGGTTAATGAGGGTCCAAGTCAAACAGGAATACCCACTGTCACCTTCTACTCTGAAGCTCCCACAGCCTGGCAGCTCTACAGGTGGCTCAAAAGACGTACAGGTCAAAGCACATTCACTGCCCGGAGAGAGTACAGTGCACATCAGCCCGGACCCTGGCTGAGTGTGCATCTGCACCTTCAGGAACCAGAAAGAGCCCCCAGATACAGGCTTCTAAAGGCAGGGGCAACACTGTCACTACTGGGCTGTGTTGATCAGAAGAACTCTTCTGCTGGTTAGAGGACACAGGCAGCAACAAAGCTCAACACAAAATACAATCTTTTACTTTAGCTGCTCCTAAAATAAAGTATTTCAAAAGCCTCAGAACTTTCTAACTAAATATAGAACAACACTGTGCTCTCTGGTGCCTAGAAAGGCAGCATGCTGGCTGCTGAGTAACTGAGACAAACCTGGTCAGTAATGCTGCCTGATGGCAGATGCTCATCCTTCCAGCCACCAAGCTTTTAATACTAAGTAACAAGCATACAACAGACATTTTTCCAGTTGGGGGTGTGTGGGGCCTTCCTAAAATATAACTAGACTCTTGGTGGCTGGATTAAAAAAACTGTATTTAATACAATTAACTTCTATTTTGCAATAAAATAATCTCTCAGTGAAAGATAATCTGCAATTTGAACATATCCTAATTTTTTTTAATTTCATCAATGAATTCTATTTTCTAATTATTACTTGCGATTAAGTCTTCACTTAAAACACATCAATCTTTATTTTGAAGTCTATGTATCTAGTAAAAACACTAAGGAGGATGGTTCTGGAGGCATCGGACCCCGTGTCCTGTTACTTAGCCAGGATCCCGGGTTCCATCACTCAGCCAGGGGAGGCTGTACCAGAACTGAGCTAGGAGTCCCGGCTGGCAGCACTGCCAGCTAAGGCATACAGTTATGAAGTGGTCAGTTTGACCACCATGGTTAGACAGAAGTCTTCTGCAGAAAAAGAGGAGAAGGGATGAAGCTAAGAGGATGTATTTCATAAGAGATGACAGAATCATCCCCCACAACTGCCTCACCTGAAGAAATCTTAAGCAGCAGCAATAAAATAATTATTTTTATTAGCCCAAATGAGGATCTTGTATCCAATTAATTAAAACCTTAGGTTTTATCCCTCTAAGGCCAGAAGGAACAAATAAGTATCAAAACTTCTTTCAAAAGAATCCTTAGTGGCTCAAGAAAAAAATTCACTGTGTAGAATCATGTGGGACTGAATGCCTATAATAACTTTTATTTAAAAATGGTATGAATTTTATGTTCTGCCAAAAACCTAAGGGCAGTTTTGAAGAGTTCTATAAATATTAAACATGTTCAGAAAATGTCATTAATAAACAAAGAAATAATTCCATAAAGTATATAAAGTTCTTCTTCAGAAAGAATAATTCTTTATGAAGAGGAAGAGAACAGCGTCAATTATACAAGGTAAAGAAAGCCCATCCTTTCAGAACTGGTGCTAAGAGGCATCTGGAACCCCATGTTTCCTAATAAGCAGACTCCATTCCACCATCTTGGGAGGCAGTACGCTTTGCCAAGGGCAGCTTCACATTCGCAGCCACTGTGTCTCATTACTGCCTCAACACCAAGCCATGAAGTAAAACAGAATGCTGAAAGCCAGTGGACTCTGGGAAGGGTAAAGTAATTCTAAGTCCATCAAGAGAGCTGAATGAAGCGGCAAAGCCATCCCTCTGGCTCCCAAGGCCAGGCACATGGCCCTGCCAGGACATGAGCACTGGTGGCTTATGCACCACCAGCCATAGCACCACAAATACACCTTACCATAAAAGGAACTGTGTTTAACTTAAAGAATGATGGACTTAGAGATTTTGTGTTCTACAAAACTGGGAGGAAGCCATGCCTTCCAGATTCACTTCTGATCACAAGCTGCCCTTCCCTGACACTTACTTGGGTGAGTAATGTCAGAGCCCAAGTCTGTCAGTGGTTCCATTCTTTGCGTAAACAACAAATAGTAGACAGGCTTTGGAATTTCCCACCAAAACCACACATCCAAGAAGACAGGTATCTTTCCAGATTTTTAAACACTGTAAGAAATACGTTAAGTAAGGAACTAATAGTGCTACCAAATTTCTGAGACTGGTACTTTACTTCTGGACTCTGATATGTATGCAGATGACGTCAGCACAGCAGTGAGGAGCCTGACTGGGGTTTCTGTCCAGGTTCTACCTCTGGAGTTATTGGTTTCATTCATAAAAAGGAAAGAATTGCACTACTTATATCATTAAATCACCATGAGAATTAAATGAGATGATGCAGAAAATGTAGCAAAATGCCTGTGTGCAGAAAGCAAACATTAGTCATTCTTAGTAAATGTGAAAAACAGCTACAAAAAGCAATTAGCTTCTATCAATGAAAGACACTAAAGCATTAAAAATATATATTTAAGACTAAAAGTAAGATGACCATTCTAATAAATTAGTGAAGGGCAGTCAATCAAGCAAAACTTACTTTATGGCTGCATAATAAAATGTTCCAAACCAAATACCAGAAGTTATTAGATGCACAGGAATCAAAACTTTCCCATATTGCCTCAATGTTCTCTTAAATCGCTGATAAAGACTAATAGATTTGTCTTGTAAAGGATCAAGCTCTTCCTTTTTTTCTGAAGGAGTCCCTTTGCCTGTGGCACTGGACGACAAAACCCTCTTGGACAAAACCACCTGCTCCCACTGTTCTTGGCGAAGGACCCCCTGTCGGGGTATCTGAGTACCCGATGACTTCCTCTCCTTTGCAAGGCACTGGGCAGCAGGTAAGTGGAGCCATTGCTTTTGAGGATCTTCAACCCAAACTACTTTAGATTCAGTGTTATTCAAAAGTAATGGTCCCTTTAAGTTCTGGCGGTGTCCAAAGAGACCAGTTTTCTGTGGTTCCAAGCATGTCCTGTGTGCCAGCCGAGACACAGTCCGTGGTAGATTCCATTGCATTTTTGAATGTTGGTGATGGATTTCAGCTTCGTACAGAGGCTAGACTTAAAAAAAAAAAAAAAGGTAGATTATACATAGGCTTACATTTTAAACCAACCCATATTAAACCATTAATAGTAAATTAATCATTAACTATTAGAAAGTAAAAGGACAAAAACTGCTACCCATAGGAATTTATATTATGGTATAGTTTTAAGGCACTGTGATTTTAAAATGTCATTAAAACATATCCTTTAAATACAGTCAACCAGTCCAGCAGCCATCATGGAGGGGAATGTTCACAGGCTCTCCTACAACTAAAAAAGGGATATTGGTAAGGCTACTGTTGTTGAAGTCCTTCAAGAAAAGAAGCAGTGTAGCACAAGACCTGGGTCTGAAGGTTTTAGATACATAATGCCATGCAATTCCCTTTCAGACTCTTAAGCCCAAGTACACTGATTAAACGAGGACATGGTTTTCTGCTTTTGGAACTGGGGATTGAATCCAGGGTACTATGTCACTGAGCTACATCCCCAGCCATTTTTATTTTGAGACAGAATCTCACTAAGTTACTTAAGGCCTTGCTAAGTCACTGAGGCTGGCCTCAAACTTGTGATCCTCTAGTCTCAGCCTCCTGAGCCACTGGGATTACAGGTGTATGACAATGGGCAGGGCTTTCACAGCATAGTTACAGGAATTGTGCAATTTCTGGTGTGAAAGAGTATCTGTAAACCAATAAGCATCACACAAGTAGGCTATCATCATAAATGTTAAGGTTGCTGAAGAGTTGATCAGAGCCACTACTCCATGATCCCTTCAGACTAAGTTACATTAAGTTGTAAATCACCTATGTTATTCGATGGTGAGAAGAGAGCCTGGTGTTGTGCCTCCCTGCCCCCCACTCCTTCAATATTAAGGGTGGAGAGGGAAAAGAACAGCAATATCTTGACATTTCATTTGGTATCAGTGCAGAATTAAGATTGACAAGATAAATGAAAAGCAGGATGTGGAGGCACATGCCTATAATCACAGCAACTTGGGAGGCAGAGGCAGTCTAGCCTCAGTTCCAGTCTAGCCTCAGCAACTTGGCAAGACCCTGTCTCAAAGTAAATGACCAAAAAATTTTAAAAGAGGCCTGAGGATGCAGTAGAATACCCCTGGGTTCAATCCCAGCTCTGCAAAAAAACAAAAAAGAAAAAGAAAGGAAAAAAAGAGACACCTTTAGATATCAAAACCTGCACCCCACACCTACTCCACCCCCAGCCAGAAAGGCAGTAAAATGTAGTTTTAGAAGCTTGTGGACTTTGGAGTAACAGAGCCAACCAAGTTAGCAGTACTACTGAGCAGATTACTATCCCTTTCCGGGGTAGATGGAATTAAAGGAGCCTTTACTATCAGGATGTCAGCCCCTGCCTATAATCTCCACCTCACCCTATCCTGCCCACCTTCCTACTTTACTTCTGGCATGTTTAGAAGAGGTGATCGCATTTTAAAATTGTATAATAAACAGTAAGATTTAACTAGCACCCCAATGAATACAGACAACTCATTTTGCACAAAGATTCATCGTCTGGGGCACACAGTTGGCTGGGAAAGCAAGAACTGTTAAATAAAAACTTTCATTAATAAAGTCTCCACTTATAAGATTAATTCTGTGACTTATTTCCTCCATAATTAATAATTAACATCAGTTTCTATCAGACTCTCACAGATACAAATGAGTTGTGCAGTGAAACTACAAATCTTGCAAAATAAATGGGCTCCCAGGAAGCCTTCAGAAGTGATACTGGTGACCGCTATACTCAAAATCAAAGTCAGTGACAAATAAGAGAGAATCTGATGCATCAGACCCATTAACACCAAATAGAAAGAAGAGCTGCAGTGATAACAAATACCAAAGAACCCAGAAAGCCATTAATAAAAAGGATGAAGCCCTTGGTTATGTTTACAAACCAACAGTGTCATTATTGCTGTGGAAGCTGAACATGGGCACAGGTGATCTTACTGTGCTTTCCAACAAACTGTATCTCCACCTGCATTTATATACCTACACCATGCCTGTGCCAAAGAGGAAGAGAACACCTGTTACTGATCCTAAGCCTTAGCTCAGCTGGACTCATTATCTAAAATTTGTGAAAAATAGTTTCATTTTTTCATTACAAAACTCCTTCCAAACACTGTACTTTAAATTTCTGGTCTTTAGTTCTTTCTCTAGTACCATTGTCTTCCAATAGGTCCTGGCCATGGCTTACAGGGGACCCCAAAGGTTATTTTTCTCTTAAGCCTGCTTCTTTTTTTTTTAATTTATTTTTTGTAGTTATAGTTGGACACAATAACTTTATTATTATTTATTTATCTATTATTTTTATGTGTTGCTGAGGATCGAACAAAGGGCCTTGCACATGCAAGGCGAGAGCTCTACTGCTGAGCCATAATCCCAGCCCCAAGCCTGCTTCTTTTATAGGGCAGTATTCCAGGAGTTGGAATTCCCAGAAGCATAACTCTCAGAAAACTAGAGATTGTGTGTTTGTATGTGCGAACAAAATAAATAAAAAGCATTTTTAAAGAGCCTCTTTCCAAGCTTCCATTTGCAGCCTTTCCTCTGGTTTTCCCAACTGTCCCCTCCCAATTTTAAAAAGTATTTTTAACCTCTCCCTTTCTTATCGCCTATTTTTTAAAAACTACTTTATTGAGATATAATTCACCCTTCCAAGGAGCAGAAATCAATGAACTGTAGTCCATTCTGGAAAACCAGCCTCTACCTCAGAGCAAAGCCTGTCCAAGGAAGGGGGCGTGACCCTTGTCCTTGGAAAGCCCCACAGAGCACTCCTAGGCACATACCCACCCTGCTGAGTTTTTTATCTACAAATAACAGGAGAGATCTGCTGTGCCAGGTTTCCCTGACTCAGTCAGGCTAGGTGGGGACCCATAGCAACCCCCTAGCAGCCACCAATCAGCATCCCAGGAAAATACCTGGGATGCCAGATGACCCTCCCAGTAGTTTATGGAGGTTGATAACATGTTGGGAAACCATGCAGTTTAGCACATACTCCCCTAAACCAATCAGTTCAAACGACTCCTCCTCTTGTACTAGCCAATCACCCCTACCCAACTTGTTCCCACCAGTGACTGTGCTAATCATGTTTTAGAGTTTTTTTCCGATTTTCCCGTGGTATGTGATGATTTGCTAAGAGAAGCTATGATGTATGTGAAGTCCCTGCCTTCCCTAAAGAGTGTATAAAACTGCTGCAAACCCTGGGCTCGGGGCCTCTCAGCGTCACCACTTGCTGTGTGCGCCCAGAGGACCGAGCTAGCTCACAATAAACACCTCTTTGCTGCTTACATCGATCTTGGTCTCTGGTGATCTTCTGGGGGTCCCGAATTCGAGCAAAACAATTCATACCTGTATAACTATCACCATAATCAAAGTTCAAAACATTTTCATTACCCAAGAAGGAAACTAAAACCATCAGCAGTCACTTGCCATTCACCCATTCCCCTTCAGGTAACCCCTGATACCAGATGAAATAAGAAGACATGGATGTTCTTTTCCCTCTTCACCCCTGGGGGTGGGGTGGGGGTACAACATCAGGCTCTCTTCTCACCTTCTAATAACAAGTATGACTTAATGTCACTTAGTCTGAAGGGACCATGGAGTGATGGCTCTGACCAACTCTTCAGCAACCTTACACATATGATGCTGAGAGTCATAGCCAAGTAGGAATGACACATGGCAATTTCCTTGTCAGCCTACCCAATGTTGCTTAGAGGGAGGACTCTCCATTGTGGAGATGGGCTTGCCTTGGACCCAGGTCATTTGCAGTGACATTGCATGAATGTTTGAGAAAGGTGACCCTGCTCAAGGACCAGAGTGGATGGGGTTTAGGGTGGATCCTGCTGGGAATAGGGCAGATCCTGCTGCCTCAGGCACCCGCTCCTTGAGTTCCCAGTATGCAGAGCCCGGTGGAGTGTGTGCATTTTTCCCAGAACTTGCCGGTGACAGTTCAGGAATAAAGAGCTGCTGTTTGAATCTACAAGGCTTTTGTGGTGGCTCGGTTATTTTGTGCCCAGCCAGACTGTGGCAATATGATGATGCCCGACTTGTGTGACACCCATTAGTTTACAGAAGCTCTTTCACATCATTTGTTTACTTTGAACATTTCATATAAAAGGAACCACGGAATGTGGTCTTCTGTGGCTGGCTTTTCGTTTCTCGTACTGTTTTCAAGTTCACCCCTCTACTACCTCTTGGGCTAAGATTTACCTCTCTTCTTTAGGAAACCTCTAGGCCAATGGATTCCAAACCTGGAATCAGATCATGGGAAGAAGAGAGCCTGGTGGGGAGAGGAGTGGCTTTAACATACACATTCCTGGGCACCATCTGGACCTAATAAATCAAAATCTCCAGGAGCCAACTCACACCTGACAATGTGAATTTGTACATCATTTCTCTGGGTCCAGAACTGGTTTGAGGGCCAAAGATGGCACAATGGCAATGTTTTCTATCCATCTGCTACTACACTGGAAGCAGTTCAGTATCATTGACTTGGAGGAGATAAAAGGTCTACTCTGTTGTAGAGCAAAATAAGAAAACTCAGACTGCTGTACCCTCTACTCCCCACTCACTCACAGCACGTGCGAGCATGGCCTTCAGTGGACTCCCCAGCCTGAGGTCCTCCAATTCACTTCTGACACCATCTACCTGGAGAAACTGTCAGATCAGATCTTATGGGTTGAAGATTTAGTCCCAGAAACCGCCACCACTTCAGATGCCAATTCCAAGTCCTAGCCACCCTACTTCTGACCAACCAGCTGTAAACCTAGGTTCCCACAACCCTCTTCCTGGGTTAGAATTATTTTCCAGGACAGTTCATAAAATTCAGGAAAGAGTTTGGCAGTTTATTATAAAGGATACATTTAGATAGATGGGTAGAGGGAGGCAGTGTGGGAGAGGGCACACAGAGTTCCAGCGCTTTCCCTGGGCCTGTGGGGCCTCCCAGCACTACCACGTGTTCAGCAACCCGGAAGCTCATCAAATCTGAAGAGTATTTAATGGGGCATGTTT